TTATCATTATTGTTATCCAGTTAAGATCTCGTAAAGGGCAGGGCCTCCTGTCTTTTGTAGGAAATGCTGAATAAAGTGATAGGAAGGTGAGGAGTGAAAGGTCTATGATGAAGGTGGATGGTGGGGTGGTGGGGTGGTGGGAGGTGATCGTGGCATTTTTGTACCATCCCAGAATTCGCCTTATGACCGAGGGAAACCAAACAAAACCTCTGCAAGTACGGCCACACCGGGTATCGAACCCGGCTCTCCCGACTGCGAAGTCAACGCGCTACACACTGAGCCACTTCACACGGTTTTAATGACTTATTGGTGAACAATACTCTTGTTAAGAATACTATTTCTTTTTGGCCTCTTACTATAAAGATGTTTTGGGTTATGTCTTGGCGTCAGGTCTGTAGTAGAAACAGAAGAATATTTTGTCTATTTCATTTCTACTACCATCCTAAAAGAGTTTCATGATATTTCGGTACTGTCATTACATTTCATTGAATTTCGAATTAAAGATGATTATTGTGCAAAGTACAAAGCAAAGAGGTTAAATGCCAACTTGTGTAATATTTTTCACACTCGCAAATATGGTTTCTGAACTGATATGCCCAAAGTGTTAAAATTTCAAGAGGTTGAATTTTATGTTTCTTTTTTGATCTACAGGAGCATCGTATTCTCCCCAGAGAGGCTTTAAATCATCCATTCGTCTCGTATAAGTAACAAATCTCTGGTAAGTATCACCCTAAAATATCGAAATATATTAGGACGTATTTTAATCATTTATTTAACGTCGAAAAATGCTAAAAAACTGTGCGACGTACTGCGAGAAGTGCAATATGTGCATGGTTTCTTCAGTTCTGAGGTACTTCTTCTAACTCGTATAAATAGTAATCCTAGATTACAAAGTCTCCATGGTCCAAGCATTATTACGAAGGCAAACTACGCTAGGTAAAACTATATAAAAACACTTTTTTTAAATCTAACCCTAAATTTAATGGATTGAACATGCATGATATGGAGTTACAAAATACATTTTAAAGCATTTTATAGATACAGCTAAATGACATGACTTTCAAAGCAGACACTTTTATGGTGGTGTCATGCCACATGATTGTCCCCAGAAGTTCCTCGTCACGCGAACTTTGTTATAATCGCCATCGTCATTATGGTGACTAAATGTTCAGAACAAAACTTAAATGCAACAAGATATGGATTTTGTATTCATTTTTACAGTATTTTCCAATAAATCACCAAAAATATCACTGTCATAACTACAAAGAGCGTAGTGTATTGGACGACGCGTGTAATAATGGAGTTTATCAGAAATAGGCACTCGCACAACGATACGTGTATTTCATGGGCTAGTCACACAAAGAAGCTATGCAGAGTTTCAGAAAAGAGGAGTGAAGGAAGCTTTCGGCTCAGTTATGACGTCTGACAAACGACGACAATTTAATCCAGGGTTAATTTGAATTATGAATACATGTAGCAACTTCGCTCCTTCGCCCGCGCGAACCTCCCGAGCGGGAATCCACTCGTACATGAGCTTCACGAAGATGCAGTTTTTTGTTTTTGTTTAAGGTCGTATCAACTACTACGTCATTAGCGACCACTATTGCTTGTAACGGTATGATAACTGTGGGTTGACACGATAATGATGATGATAGGGGGTGAAAGGACGAAACACAATACAACCATACCCGAGGCGGGACTCGAACCCGCGATCCTTCGGTCCGAGTTCGCTACGGCACTACTGCCTTAGCGATCTCAGCCACACGATCGGCGAAGAGGCAGTTGTACAACGAACATAAGGCCATCTCGTGGCTCAGAGATTGCCTTTCACCGGGTTCAATACTCGGACAATCTCATGTGAAATTTGTTCCGATAGAACGAGATTGGCTGCTACTCAGGGGCTAGTCCAACCCCTGTGAAGTAAACCTAACTGTCTACTAATTGTCCTAATTCCTTCCCAATTCTGGCCGCGGGGTAGTGACACAGGAGTGCGTATAAAGGGGGCGCGTATGCAGAGATGCTACCTGGCGGCCCTCTTGACAACACGCTGTCTACTCTTGCGTATGCCTTAATCGTATGCGTAATCAATATTGTGGACACTAATGACCTAATAGTTGATGCGACCTTCCTTAATTAATACAAAAAACACTGTAACTCTGTGCACCATTGCAAAAACAAATTGTAGACACTTCAATACATAGACAGCAATGATCGTTACACAGAATATTATTTTGTCAATCCTCGTCTACTCCGACTATTAGATATATAACATTTGTTTTAAAAAATCTGTCGCCCACGAGTTGTGTTAGTTTTAAGAGAAGAAAATTCTCAGCAGCCATATTAGGCAAATGCCATCTAAAACAGTGGTGCTCAATTTCTTTTCAGATTGAACAACCATTTTATTTTTGGTGAACCACTAGCGGTCCGCGTTTATTAATAACAAAATCATACGATACATGCGTAACACAAAAATTATATTCAAATAACTAGTGTAATTTTTGTACGTATTTTGTTTTCTACGTCGCAATTTTAACGGATATCACAAAGCACAGTAACATTAAATTCAATATGAAACCTGACCCTGCTTCTTTGTTACTAAATTGTCAGTACTAGCTTTAATTTTGGAAGAAGCTCCAAGGCAGTTGATAGTAGAATTTGTACGCAGGCCGTCCAAACATAATCAACGGCCTTTATTGTAGTGAGTGTTTGCGGGCCGCAAAAATGGAAGCCATGAAACGCATGTTGATCCTGGGTGCATGTTTGAGATCACTGGATTAGAAGAACTCTGGAGGTGCCAAGCAAAATTTATTTTACGACAATTTTCTCTCTAATTATGGAAATTTGTTCAGTATAATGATAGAAAGAATATTTTAGCCCTTCCTCGAAGAAGTACGTTAAATGACCGCAAAAATGAGTCTCTCTCATATTGATGTTTCAATTTCAGGGCACTGATCCCCGAGGGGAGGTCAGCGCTGCGGCCTGAGAGATAAGTCGTCAAGGTAGGCTTATTGGAGAAGCACTACCACCGACTGGCTCAGCGCGCACATTTTGAAGTAGTCTCAATATTTCAATTCACTAGGCGTCTGGTAAGTAAGCATTTCAATTGCGGGTTGTTTTAATGAAACTGTACTGAGATTTTACTAAAAGTATTAATGACTCTATATATTCATGGATTTTTTTTTCCATTTCAGAATGCGAATTCGCTGGTCGTCATTGACAAAGTGTGGTGTCATGGTTACATGGCAAAAGTTCAAAAACATCTCTATCAAATGATCAATACAATCACGGTAAGCCAGTTTATGCCTATATTTTTGGGAGTATTTAACATAATACTGTGAAAGGCGTAATTGTGATTCTTTTTTGCTTTATTTACTTGGAAGCGCTTTGCAAATCTATAAAAATGAGAATCTTTATTATTGACTTGATCTTTCTTTACAAATCTTAGGTGAAGAGCATGACTTGGATCGACGAGAAGTCTGCATCGAAGCTGAACTACGTGGAAGAGAAGATCGGAGAACGCTGATTTCTACGGGCCATTACATGTATGTTCTTTTCTAAACGGTGTTCTTTTTTAGTTCAAAATTGCTGGCCATTTTTCCCTCATGTCACTCCATAATGTGAATAGTACCCATAGAAAAATGAAGCTTACCAGCATTAGATATGTGAACTGTCCCATAAGCGACTTTAATATAAAGTTAATCTACTACGGCAAAGCGCTATACGCGAGGACGAAGGTTGCAGTCAGACTATAACCATACTTGTTTAGTGCCATTGTAGGATAATCAGCGGTATAATACGGAATATTATCTTTACATGAAAACAATGAGTTGTACACTGTAAGCACTTGCCTAATACTGTCTAATCCTTCACTATACGTTTCGAGTATAATAAATCCCGTGTTCACAGAATTTATTTACAATTTATGATTGTCTTAAAATGAAGGCCATATTGTTCACCATACAAGGACATTTCGAATCTAGTAAATAACACTTTATAGACGTACACAATTTTACCCTTTGGATACACGTACCTTACACAACACACACACACATACACACACACACACACACACACAACGAAGTCGTAGGCTTCCGCAGCCAGAGTCATGTGCGTGATCATGGCTGTCCGGGTGACGCCGCGTCGAAGGCTCTGTTTCCGACGTTTCGACCATCTTTTCAAGATGGCAACAGAGGCTGTCGGCAATAGAGCCTTCGACGCGGCGTCATCCGGACAGCCATGATCACGCACATGACTCTGGCCGCGGAAGCCTACGACTTCGTTGTGTACTGACAAACAGTCGTCACGACTACTATGAATTTACATGGTATTCGGGGACACAGAACGAAAGTTGGCTAGTTTGCATGGAATGAATATTTTTAATCAATCTAAAATGAATAGGAAATTAACTAACCAAATACTTTTTAAACATTATTTACTTAGTTGATGTTTACATAAATCAGTATTATTAATTTCTTTATATGTATTTTGTTGATATAACTATTCTAATTCTAACTTAACATTTCATTACACTAGCAAATAATTGATATAGGGACACACAGAGCACCTACTATTTTAGTTATTGTGTGGAAAAATATTTAGGAATGCTTCTAATGAGAATATGTTTTCAATACGGGTTGAGAAATAGATGAATAATGCAAGATTTTTGTGGACGGTTTGGGCTATTGAATTTACATTTGAATAGAAGCAAATAGAAAGGTGGACTCTGGGATGGGAGATAGGTGGTAGGTTTAGTTCTTTATGCAGTTGTGTGTTTGATATGAACCAAGGAGCATTTGTTTTTATTCAGAGGAACTTGTTTTGCATCACTTGCATTCGGTTTATGTTTGTTTGCGAGGCATTCGTCCATATTGATTACACATAGAGCATAAGCTGATTAATTGTTTTATATAAGGCTGTTGCGTTGCTTAATTAAGGTTAGCTTTTCATGTTGAGTAAGGTATTTAGTTGAATAAACTTCTTTTAAATTATGCTTTATTTAATTGGTCACATGAACGTCCAAGTCATTAGCAACAATGAATAACTTTTTTTTTCAGTGAGTTGTAGCTTTTCGATTATACGTGTTTTCCCATTGAATCTTGTGTCGAAATTCAGTCCTATATATTTGATAGTTTGGTTTTGTGTGATCCATGGGATTGTGTTATTATTTCTGTGAAGTAAGGTGGGGGTGAAAACGTCATGAGTGAGAGATTTTTTGTTGCTGATTTGGTTGCGTTAAGTTTTATTTTCAAATTTATTGAACCAGTTTTCTATTTTATGTAAATGCTGTTGGATTTTGTTTCTAATGATGTTGATTGAATAACTGGATTTATAGATTCTGTCGTCAGCGAATTGTGCTGTTGTGTGTGTGTGTGTGTGAGTGTGTGTGAGTGTGTGTCTACTGTATAAAGGTTGAATACGAGTTGGCGATAGAGGATCTTTGAGGCAGTTCTGCTATTATTTTTCGCGTAATGGAGATGTGGTTTTCAACTGTTACGGTGAATGTCCGTGATGATTTTTTTTATGACTTTAATTAGGTAGTTGGGTGTCCCTATTGATTGGAGTTTGTATATCAGGCCTGGGTGCGATACTCTGTCAAATGCTTTTGATCCGTCAATGAATGTGGCTATTGTGTGTTTTTGTCTTGTAAAGCTGTATGCATGTGTTCGAAAAGTCTGAGCAATTTATGTGAAGTAGATACTTTGTTGGAGAATCCAAATTGATGCATGGGTATACAGAGTGAAGAGTACACATAAAACCTGATTCTAATATGAAACTAACGCATGGCAAGCGATGCTTCCCCTCACTCGACAGTTTCACGGAAAACGCATTGAAACGTTCAGCGTCTTTGGCAGATGCCGCACCGGGTGTGTGCTGTGACGTGGGAGCCGGTTTGAATTTCGCGCCCGGAAGTAACATTTAAACTCGATTTTCTTGAAGACAATTTTATTTTTCGCAAAAACATATTCTGCTATTTTTCATGAATTACAACATAGAATCTGTGGTATGGTTTTGTAGTAGAAGCTTCTGGACACCATGTAGGGGATATTGTGTTTTATTCGAATAGCCATTTAATATTTTGAGTATTACCTCTTAAAGAGTTTTTGGAAATGATGGGAAAAGGCTAATTGGTCCACATTACTGGACCCTTAGGTTTTTCTTTCAGTTTGCTACCGTAATTATATTGGAATTCATCCATTTTATTGGGTAATAACCTGTTCTGAGTACAGAATAATATAATATTTTTAGATGAGTCATCGTGTGAGTAGATTTTTTAATGTAATGTTGCTTATTTTATGGTGCCTTGTTGCTTTTCTGAACGGGAGTAAGTTTATAATATTTTTAACTTCGCTAGTGGAAGTGAATTTAATTGTAGAACCTTGTAGTTGGAGCATGTTTCTAAGTGTATATAATATTATTATTATTATTATTATTATTATTATTATTATTATTATTATTATTATTATGATCAGGGTCTGGTGGAGTATTGTTAGAAGTGAATGTTTGCTCGAAAATGATTGACCAGTGCTTCTGCTTTGTCAATGGGTGTAAATGATTTTCTTGATTGAGTGCTCAAGGTTGGGATGTGCTGTTTTTAAATGTTTTAAGTAAATTTCCACAGTATTGTTAGTAAAGGATTTTTATTCTTATAGTTTGAATGATAGTAGTAAGTTATTTCTTTCTTTCTAGATTTTTAAATTTTACAAATAATATTCTTTCTTTAATTTTAGTAATGTGGTCATACCAAAGTCGTCTTGATTTATTTTTGGTGTTTATATCCCAAAACGATTTAAGTGGTTTTCCTTTTGTGTTTCTATTACTATTGAGAGATCTGCCCTTGTTTAGTGATTTAAGTCTACTAATGATCAAATTATTTAGTTGTGCTATTGTTTGTTCTATTTCTATGGGGGATTTCAATTTTTTAAAATGGAGTTTTAATTATTTACATTTTAAAATTTATTCTAGTTGATATTTTGTGTTTGCAGTGCATAGGTGGGGATGGGAAGAGGAGGGGATTGATATGTTGAGATAACGACTGACAGGTGATCAAAATATAGTTTGAAATAAGGGACTGAGTGGCAATTGCTTTGTGTATTAGTTAGGATATCCTGACACTTATTTGGGTTCAGTGGAGATTCTGTTGGTTCTGGAGGTGAGATTAACTGAATTTTTAGATCGCTTATGATTGTAAACTGCATGAAATCTGCCGTATTGATTATTTGGTTCCCAGATTGTATTTTTAGCATTAAGATCACCAATAAATAATACGGGTTTTGTTGAAGTAATGTTATTTGTATGATTTATAGTAATTTTTGGAGGTTGTGCTATAAATATAACTTATCAGCCTGTTGTTTCATGGAACTTTGATTGCTACTATATCTAATCCGAGATTATATGGGAGGTTGTTTAGTATGCAAGGGATTTTTTTATGAATTTATTATTAATTCACTCGCTGACGATACTAAGTGCCGATGGTCAGTGGAATGGTGGGTCGGTGGCGTTCTCTAGATTGTAGGCCACCTCCATAGTGCAGGTGAAGGTGTGGCCTAGGTCACTGGTGGATCATGTTTCTAGTTGTGATTACAGCTGCAAGTAACCATTGAAATAATACTACACTTTATCACTTCACTTAGTCACTGCAGTGAGGTAAATTCACCGTAACTGACGTTACTTACACGACCGTATCAGGTTGTATACAACTAAGCTGGTGGTGAAGAGTGCGATGTGCTCGCCACCACGGATTAGAGCGGACTGGTTTCTTTTGCATACTTCACTCGTAGTACAGAGGTGGTTTTAAGAGTATCGTGTAAAATTGCTTCAAAAAGTGAGTAATTTTCGCGTAATTTTGCGTTAAATGAGACAATCGTGCTAACAAGATTTTCTCAACAAAAAAAGGCAGCAATTTTTTTTTACTTTTATATTAATAGAGATAAATGCATTGAATAATATGACGAACGTGATTTAATATTTCAAAAATTACAATCTTTTAGATGTCAAGTCATTTACATTAAGGGCATTTTTTAAACTCATTATTGCATTCGAAAGTTTTGTGTAAAAATGATATCAAAATTGTGCATTTTCAGAAACGTTCAAACGGTATTTTCTCACAAACTGCGCCACAAATGTATTTTTTTTAAACATTTCATGTCCTTAAGCCATTTGATCTCCCATTCAGGAGCTTAGATCATATCCCGGTCGCGGCGATGCCCCACTGGCGGGAGTTACCTTCTTAAGGAAATCTCCACTACCTGAAGTGTAGGTCGGCGCCGGATCTCGCCATCCGCCGGAGAAAATCACTGTCACCTCCAATATTGCATTACATTAACCGGATTAGCAGTTGACGCGCCCGGCAAAACTATTCAATTAGTCAGTTAATCATTTAATGGTTTGAAGGCAATTGTTTGAATAGAAGAATTAGTCAAACATAGGACAAACAGTAACTATGTATAATGTTCTGCTTCTTTTTCAGGAACGATCGATTCTTTAATATGGAGACGGCCAACAACGTGCCCCAACTGCCCGTGCGAGTGGCGGCGGAGGACAGACTCAAAGCAAAGGACGCACTGATCACTGCGGCTTTGCGAACGAACACTGATCAAGCAAGCGATCAGACCGGTGAAATTGTATTATGTTCTCGCCGACACGTAAAACGGGAAGCGGCCAAATTCTCAAGTCCCAGTCTATCTGCACATTCTGGCAGCACTGTACGGAGGATAACGCCATCTATCATAGTTAACTATTACAAAAGAACATTCTCAACCAACTGCCAACGACTGAGATGCTGATAGACTAGATTTTCTTTAATCATGATTACTAGCGATGAACGTTTCCTATGATAGGCGTATTTATCCTAAGGGTTGAGAGTATTAGCGCAGAAGGCACAAGGAGGCGGGGGTAGACGCATTGCGTCACGAGCCATTTTATCGCCTACAAGAAATATATCAATAACGATAATATCATACATTACGACAAAAACTTTTCAGAGCATGCAATAGAATTAGTGGATTTGAAAAAGTTTAATTACATTTCTCACATAATGCAGATTTACTTGCGAAAGATCAATTAAATATCCCCGCTTTCAATGCAAAACAGCTTAATTATGTCAATGAATATTACGAGTCGAAGAACTGAGGTGTGCGATGACGGCTGCAAGGTCGGAAAAATATTTGGGAGTGAGACGTTTTGACGAAATAATAGTGTTCAATTATCAGTCTTTACTAAATTTAACATTTTAGCAACAAAAACAAGATATTTAGTAATAATTTTGCATCTGTTGTCAAAATCATTATTTTGCAGTATTGACCTCAGAGACAATGTGAGTATCCTTCCGGGTCTATAGCGCTCGTTTGGAAATTGTTTATAAAATTGATAATTGTTTCAAAATTAATTCACAACTTTTGCTTCTCGGATGTCAGATCTCTTCTCACATCACAATAACAAAAATTGGATTTTTTTTTAAATTTACAAATTTTGCAAAATGTTTTATTGTCTTCTCTAAACTGCCTTTAAACGAGATACTTAATTCCAGAATCTGAAGGTCTCTATTGCCGTCGTTTTCGAGATATGCAATTGTTTAACTGAAATTAGTTTGTCATGACAACTCCCATTTCTTTGGGATTCAATATTTTCGCAGTTCTCTCCCAAATCTCCCTTCATGCCGTTTTGCATACGCATCTTGCATTTAGGGTCACTCTTCTTTCATCAGACCCTGACACCACAATGATATTCGAAACTGCCTTCAGAATGGAAGACAATTGAGGTCACTGCTTATCGAGTCAAAATCATGGAAACTTTAGTCCTTTTCAAATGTTCTGTAAACACGTAAATACCAAGAGGGCCATCTTATGGGAACTCACAATTTCTCTGAGCATATGAAAGAATCAGTCAGTTCAACGAGGAACCCACTACCTGATAATAGCCATAACATCCACTTCTTTAATTTACTGTGTTCTTTAAATGCGCCCCGAGCCTCTGGAAAGCAAACATTAACACAATATTTTATATTAATAATAACCATTCTTAATATGGATAAAATTATTTTTGAATTTGCGTCTTCGTAACGCGTCTACAAGCACTTTTGGTGGCATTGTGCGCTTGATATAATCCTCTTGGAAATCCGTTTTTTAATGTAGTCAATCATCGTCAGTAATTTATTTTTATCCCTTCGCGGAGAGGTTTTTTCACATCCCCTTTCAGTCGTTTATAGAAAATAAATTCAAGTTCGTATTATTAGCAACGGAGTTGTAGCGTTCTATTGAATTTGAAATGACTGCTTGAATATTGAATGGTGAGTGATGTAATGGACAAAATATAGCAACCTGAATTTGACGCTATAAAAAGTAAAGTAAAAATGAGATAAATATCAGTATATCATCAGTATTTGTGTCAAATGTTATGAATATACCGAAATTCATGAACGTTCTTAACTGAAATGTGTGTGTATAGAAATTCACATATAATATGTATAATGACAAAGTAAAAAATACCACACACACAGTATTGAAGCAATAAGAAACACAATTAGGGGAGTCGGAGTGATTTGGGCACAAAAAATAGTTTTTTGTAATTTCAGATAACCCGGTTCGTAGTGTATAATTTAGCACTTGATTTAAAACCTGTTTATGGGTGGTTAATAAATGGGTGGTGCATTGGCTAAATCTGGTGTGTAATCTTCAACATAGTTACTGGCACTGGCACTTACCCAGTATTTTTGTTATCGCTGTTGGACCTTGCCTACTATCCTTTTTCTTTAGTTGACGCTGGCTTCCACCTGATGCTGGCTGCCTAAGGTTACAAGCGTTATGATGGGTCTTGATAACATGAAGTTTCTGATTCAGATGATTCCATGACTGAATCATAGGTAATGGCACTTTCGCTGTGTGAGGTAAATCAATTGATGAAGTTGCTATGCGGAATACCGCTGGAGTTGTGTAGCACGCAAAGAGCATTACTGAACTGAGCTTGTTGATTTACATCAAACGTTAATGGATACACTGGATTAATACGGTAAATTTCACTTGTTAATACACTTATTACCAGAAACACTTTAAATATAAACTGGTTTGTCTGTATCGGGCGGGCCTGTACCGACGCTAGTGTTCCGACTTATACGAGCACTCTGCAATGGGAACTGTTCGGTGGTCGGGACTGGAATGTTTGGGAAGTGGTGAAATCTCAAATCAAAGAAAGGATAAAACTGTCCATGATTCCCTGGCAGATTGTGGAAGCTCCTTAAGAAAGACTGTTTATCCAAAACAAGAGCCACAGGATGTTTGGCCAAATATATTTCCAGAGCAAGAATAAATCCACGCGACGAATAGGTCCAGACGTGAGTGTTTGTGTGTGTGTGTGTGTGTCGTTGGTGTGTGTGTGTTTGTGTGTGTGTTGCGCGCGGGTGTTCTGCGTTTTCAACACTCAACAACAAACATTGTGTGTAACAATTGTAAATAATCTATTATTTAATATTAGAGTACGTTAATCCGCATAACTATGAGAAGCGTTTCATAAATGAGTTTTCGATGTTTTATTTTGATATTAAATCATCCTCTAATAATAAAAATTCAATAATTGAAAATTATTAAACCCGATTAACTAAATTTGACACAATAAAATATAATTTGTACAAAAAAGTCTCGGAGCACATTTGTACTCCGCGCGGGCAGTGAAGCACTGAAAAAAAACGTTAAAAAAAACGAAAAATTTAAGTTCACGTGATCTAGTCTTCAATCTCTATAAGTGTTCAGTATTACACGTTTTTATTTATTTGTTAATTTGTTATTGGTTTGTAACTTATTTATTATTTTGTGCAGAATTTATTTATAGCGAGGAATTTAAATATCACAAAATATTTTAATGAATTGTTTGAATGGTATGATAATTTTAAAAAATCCCTTACTGTTACCATTTGAAATATTTAATTCTAAGCTTAACTTAATAAAATATTAATAGTTGTCATGTTTCTGGCTTTATGTTATCCTAGAATTACTTGTATGCATATTGATGATAAAATTAAACGAAGACATGCAATATATTTTTCATATACTTTTGGTATTTTAATTTACGATTAATAAATGGGTTTGGAAGATACACAGAATAATGTCTCATCTTCATAAATAATTGTTTTTTACGTCATTCGACATCCTTTGCGTCTGACCAAGCTTCACAGTCAGAATATACCGGAAAGTTAATGGGTCTTTTTTCCAAAAGATTCTAAATGCGCTAAGGGCTGAACTTGGTCATTGTGAAATGTAATATTTACTTCATTCTTAGTTTGTAAATAATGAACAGGCATGATAAATCTGTATAACACAAGAGCGACGTTTGTTATGCATGGAAATGAATAGAGATATAAAAAGCAGTTAATACCTCTTAGACGCGCGACGCCTTGCTCTTTAAAGAACTCGTCAAGTTTCAAAGTAATTCACTCCGTCAAAGGTAGCGCAGGGCATCAATTGATGTCCCTGCAGTGTGTCTGTCCGGGAGATCTAGTCGCGACGTTAGCAGGATTTTCGGCAGACAGCTATGTAGAATTCCACCGCTATCTGGATGAGAATTATAGCGACCGGCTGCTCGGATTGATAGTAAGTATTGGTTTAAAGCATATTCATGAAACTAACTCTACGAAACCCCAGAAACTACCACTATAGGAAACTTTTTCCACTTACTCTTTGAAGTCTCGTGATTAAGGATGAAGTCGGTTCCAAAATCCTTGTTTCCTGGATAAACAGCATGCACGCACATAAAACCTACTTAAATATAGCTCAAACCTCACCCAGTTTCCATTTTACGTTTCGACCCGAAAATAAACTGCAAATGCCTACAGAGGAGAAGTTTTTGCTTGCACGAAGTCCATTTCGCGAAATCCAACACACTGAATGCAACCTCACGTGAAGCAAGTTCATGATAAACTTCATGCACGCACATAAAACCTAATTAAATATAGCTAAAACCTCACCCAGCTTCCATTTTACATTTCAACCCAAAAATAAACTGTATATGCATACAAATAAAGAAGAAGTTTTTGCTTGCACGAAGTCCATTTGGCGAAATTCAAGACATTCAATGCAAGCTCACGTGAAGCAATATGTCTCCCACCGTCGGATGTTTCTCGACCTACTACTATTCCTCTTTCCTCCGAGGAGTGCCTCCTCGGGCAGCAAGAGCGAGCGTCCGCAACGGCGACATTCGTCCGAGTTCTTCCGCTGGGTCGGGCGGGGCGCCGCCCTCCGCGGGGACGGGACGCGACGAAGCCGGGGCACGTCTTATCGGTGCCATCGCCTCAGTTAATGAGATCGTCGCCCGCTCCCATTCACTGCAATTCTCTTCCCGGCGCCCTCTCCCTCTTCCTCTCCCTCGTGGGTTCCTCTCAGAGCTGCCGACCAGACTACGTCAAGGACTGGACTAAGCGTATTGAAGCGAACACTGACAGAACAAAATACAATTTGCGAGTTTACGACAATATACGTCACACATGAAGGTATTTTAGATGTCCCTCTTGAAAAGGCTTATCATTAATTTCCTTCCCAGCATAGTTTGTGTGTACGAGTTTATCCATTTCTGAAAAATATACATATTGAATACTTATTTTCAGTTATTTCATAAAGAAAAAATAAAGTTTGGTTTTAGATCATCAACAAAGTTTATTATTAGAAGCCCCTTAAAAATGACATTTCTTTCTTTGTTAAAAAGCATTGTATATAGGTTTCCCACCAACTATGGGCCACCCTCAGAACTTCTAAATGGTTCACGATATTGAAATGGAGTTTTTGCTCAAAAATGCAGAATCATGGGCATTGCCATAGATATGCCATAGAGATATCGTTTGAAATATTTTCAGTTTTTTAGGAATTTCATTTTTGAATTTTTAAATAAAATTGTTTGCCCTTCTCGCCAGCAACGGATATATCATAGACAGAGGATTAAAATGATGTATCATAAGTTATCATTTTGACAGTAATGAGTAAAAATTAGACTTCACGACCAGTGATTTCAATTAAACGGACAATACTTCCTTGCAACTGTCGCCTTTGGGGAATTTGCCTTCGCGGCGCCGGGACTGTTGGTCATGTCACGAAGGACACACGGACAAGCATTAATATTAATGATGAGAATTACAGTTTTTTTCATTGATTCGTTAGAAATAAACTTCTCTTCTGGTTGAAATTCCAAAGCATTGATGTACCGTATTGCGTCTCTACGCACGACTGCGGATGTGCATTGTTGTACAGAGCTTACTAAATAATTTATGTAATATGTT